GTCTGGTTTTGATTTGTAAACAGTAACCTACATCTTTAAAATTACATAAATAAGTTAAGTTTTAGTTTAAATACATTTTGGTGTTGATATTATTCATTTCCGTCAACATGTTGACAATATATTACACTTTTAAGTTTGGGCAGAGGGAGCATAGTGGAGCACTACGCAAATTTCGCATGCCAAATAATGCTCCACTATTCTCCTCCTATCATACCAACTTCCCAAAACTTCCTAAATCCATATGGAATTTATTTATGTATATTATATATATATATATATATCCATATAAAATTTCCTTTCAAAAAACGCACTACACTTCATATATCGGAACATGATTTTTGGTACAAAAGTTGTTCACAGACACATCATAGTAAAACTAATAGATCCCTCAAAATCTAAAATTCCCAAAAGTGGTTACCTACTTTCCGAAATAGTGAGTGGTTTTTTCAAGGACTTATCACTCTGTATAGTATACAATGTATACTGTATACTTTAGTATATATTTAAGTGCAATATGTCTAATATATTTGAATTTTAAATTAGTTTTCCTTCTGAATAAATTAATAGGTATTTTTGTTTATTTATTTTGGTATAGCAGATAAATAAAATACTGCATTTTGATGCACACTGCACATAACAGCTATACCATGTACTCATAGAGTCATTCGTTATATAACGCTATTGGGACCGGCTTTTAGGTAATTTATTCTTCTGTACAAGTAAAAATATTTAAATATATTTGTATTTGTTTTTTACTTCTTATTATATTCTAATACATATATTATATATTTTTGTTTGGTATAAGTAATCTTGAAATATTTAAATAAAAAATCCATAAAAGATATTTGACCAAAACAAGTATACTTACCATAGAAAACACTATGAAAAATATAATTATAATGATATTATAACATAAATTAAAATAATGATCACCTATCTGTGAATATTTATTATGATACTATGTGGTGTAAGCATTTCGAAGTTTTGGGAATTGTTAGACGAAATACCAGGTTTGTCATGTACTTATGTCTGCCAAGTGCAAAGATATCTTCTGTTACTCTCTAGATCACTCGATCGTTAAGTACAACGGGTTGTCGTTTGGTTTTCAGCTACGAGTCGTGATTAGTGTCATAACGAGTAATATTTTTGGGCAAACCAAATGATCATATAACACCGCCCCATAAAAAAGAAAATTAGTTCTTTTTATAATTTAATTTAACAATTAATTAATAAATATTATTAATTTTACACAGTTAATTAACTTATAGGTAATAATTATAGTTCAAATCCCTATTTTACCCTGGAGGATGAATGGTGGATCATCATTTGTGTGACAACGCAGTATAAGGCGTTTGAATAGTGCTCCAATTTTCTCCCCACATCCAAACTTAAAAGTGAATTACCTCGTTTGGAATTTTTAATGTAAGTCTGTTTTAAAATCAAGTAGTGGTTTCATACCGAAAAAAGCTGTCCTAGGATAATGGGGACTAATGCAGTCATTGTTTTAGATGGGAAGTTGAGAAGGTAAGATACAGAAAGAAATTTAAGGTATATCTATAAGCAAAGGTTTATCTTTGATAACGAAAAAAAGATTTTGAGCGGAGGTCAGTTGATAGCGGTGCTTTGTAAACAATATGTATGTCATATTATTGTAAAATAATTAAATAGTCATTATATATTTTCTTTAATAATATTTGTTTAATATTGATCCGTTTTTCTCAGTTTCCCATGTTTTCCAAATTTTACACATTTGACGAAAAAACTCTTGAGAAAATCAAAAAATTACCTCCCTAAAGTAACACCCTGAAAAAATTACTTTTCAGAAAATGGTCTAATCGTATACTTCAGGGTAAGCTTTCTGGTAAAAAAGTGTTCACATAAAAAAAAAAAATCTAGAATAAAGCTGACAAAAAATAACGTTGGAGTAACATTTTAGAACTGTATGTTTCTTAAATTTTTCAAACAAATTACAAATTTCGAAAAACGAATACGCCTCTGCCATGTATAATTATCCAAACTTTGGGAATTATGCATGAGCTATATTATTATCGATCATACTTTGTCACTTTTGTGTTAGGGTTCGTGTTAAATTTTCAGATATTTTTGTTTAGTCAACAATTTTATCCTAATAATAACAAAAAAAAAAAAAATCGTGTTAAAATTAGCATAGTTCCTTTTAGATATTTACGTATATAGGAAGTTAGGAACTAACTTATAGGTTTTTATATCCTTTTGCGTCTATGTAGGAATTTGTATAACTCATTTATTATGCAAATAAGGATTGTGTATATGACGTGTATGAACTTGATAGTCCTTGTTTAATTTTAATAACAGTAACATTTTAAATAATTAAATATATAGATAATAATTATAATATTAAACCCTGGTGATTTTTAAAATGTCTGTAAAATGGACTTTTCGTTTGGTTTACGATTGCTATGCAGCCCTTTAGAAAGACAGAGATGACAAATACCACTGTGACGGCTTCTTATAAAATCTAATAGTATTCTTATTAGGATGCGTAAATAGTTTTTAAGTAACATTTAAACGTTTAGTAATAGTATTATAAACGATTATTAATTGTATCGCTATAGAAGAAACAAAATCCCAATTTTATTATACCTTAGATAAATGGATTGTCAATTATTAACGTCATCGAGTAGTAGATTACTTTTAAATATCATGTAAATCAGTGGTTCTTAACGTGGGCGGTGGAGCCCCTCAGGGGGCACTTCGGTTTCTCGGGGAGGTGGTATTTTTTAATTGAGCGTTGATATGGGGGGAGGTGAGCTTTCAAATGCATAATAATGACGGACAAATTAAAAAAGCGTCAGCGATTTGTTATCACACGTGAAATTAGACAAGTTGTGTTACATATACTCAAGCCCAGTGGCGAATTAGAAAGAGCGCAGGGATACGTGTTACTCCTGTCAATAGACTACAGTTTTTATCTATATATTTTATATTGATTTAATATATAATTTACAATTAATTTATTGAAAATATAAATAATGTGCCCCCCCTCTTTAAAAATGTCTAGACTGAATAAAGACACTAGTTAGCAAAAAAAAAAAAAAAAGAAAGATTAATAAAGAGTATTAGCTTTCATATATCTTGGTAAAGGAACGCTGACATGAAAAGGTTAAGAACCACTGATATTAATCGATAAAAATGTTTTCTCGTTAAATTGAATACGTATTCGAAACCTATTTATCAAGTGCAGGTGCAGGTAAAACAATTACTAATTACTACTACATTGAATTATTCGTATTTTCTTTCGTAGTAGGATGTCCCCTATCCTACCAAATCCTATCAAAAATCTGCATTATAAATTTCAATACAGCTAACTATAACCTAACCTAACACAGTTTTTATTAACTTGTTAAAAGGGATTCCTTCCGGTGGGAGCGGTTAGGGAATCGAATATAAATCCCTATAGGTATTTGACATTGGCTAATTCCAAATAGGAAAGACTTGATAAAGACTCATTGAGTCTTTCTGAATAATACTATAATACCTACGCGATGGACGTGATTCGACTCGAGTAAACAGTGGATCGTGCGAAAAAACCGAGTTTACTCCATAGCGATTACAAACATCGTTTGATAACGCGGAGTTATTTTGATCGAGTCAATTCTATAACATATATAGAAAAATGACTAGGTTATTTAGCGACGCTTATCGTGCTATGATAACAACTATTATAATATATTATAATATTATGTGTTTATCATTTCACGCCAGCACGGATCAATAATCCTCCCCCCACCCCTTAATGTTTAACGTGAAAACGCTCAAAAAGATCCGCTCTATTTGGAATAATTTCAAATAATACCCGGGTCACGACGATATACACTCAACTATAGACGTCATTTGCCGACCGGACGGACGAAACGGAAATCGAAATTCGTGCGTTTAAAACCGAGTGCACAATAACAGTATGGAATACCGTCGTCGAACAACAAGCTGTAGCCTTCTGTGTACGTACGTTCGGCCGAATTTCCGGGAGGACCCTGTGGCGGTGGCGCCATAGGTGGCACGGGTGCCGGGCGTGAGGGGAGGAGGACGCTTCGCTCCAGCCCGTAAACGTGTATCACGGTAACTATTGTTACGGCCGACGGAGCAGGCTGGTGGACACAATACGACCCGTTGACGGCATAATGATCGGGGAGGGACGCGGTAATCGACGACGACCAGTTCGGTGGTTCGGTCGCGTACCACGCGTTTCTCCCCGCCCTCACCATTCCCCCTCACCGTCCCGTCTTGTTTATTAAACGAGATACTAATATTATTATAATGTGTGTAATGACCGGGCGGCGCGGCGGCGGCGGCGGTGGCGGCTGCGGCAGATACGTCACCGTTACCGTGTCGTCACACGAAAATCTCGTCCTACACGGTCGCGTTGTCGTCCGAATAATATCATGGCACGCGTGTCTGTGCGTGTGTGCGCGCGCCGCTTCGTGTCTAATAATATTTTTTTTTCCTCTCGAACCGCTTTGGAGCGCCTCGCCGGCGGTGATGTCTCGGCGCGGTGTCCGCTGTACCGGACGAGCGCGCTCGCGTATGTATAAAACGTCCCGGCCGCGCGCCGCACGCGATCAGTCGAATTGTCGATCATCAGCAGAGTGCAACGCTAAGATATCGCGACGTTTCCATAAAAAAATAATTAAAAAAAAAACAAAATACAAAACAAAGCAAGATAAATCGTTTATGAAAATTTGTTTTAAGACGACGGCAACAAGAATAACAACAAATAATAACATCGTTCGTTTATTACAATATTACATCGTTACAATATTATGGTCGACTGCATTATTGTGCATAATAATATTGTGGATCGACGATCTTTCCTGCATTGCAGTTCCGGGACCGCGTATCCGTCGTCCCGACATCGGACCGCGTGAGATCGTTTATTTATTTTTTCTAATCGTCTTCCGTCCATCTTTTAAAAACGGGATTTTCCGCCCGCTCCGAGACAGCATATCTGCGTTATTATTATTATGGGACGATCGTCCATCCCGTGCCACTCGCTGGCCGACCGGTGCGGACGGTGCATCGCGGCACTGTTGGTCCTGATGCAGTTGACCGACCTCGCAGCTTGCGGCCAGACCTACTTCCGAAGATCGGAAGTCGACCTAATGCAAATCAAGCATAACATCATCAACGGTCTCAATCTCGACAAATTACCTGACATGGCTCAGGTAAGGAAACAAATGTTAATTTAATATTAATAGCATATAGGTAGAATTTAAAAACGGTTTGTTTGTGCGTGCGTGTGGGAGGGGAAGGGTGTGTAGGTAAATGCATAATAATCCTTATAGTGTTGTCGTATACTTTAAGGACGAAATCATAAGCAGTAAGAATATGATGTTGGAGTATATTATGTGTCAGTATATTATTATATTAATTATTCCGTTATAAGTTATTCAAACGAATAATAACAGTTGTACAACCAGAATATTATTATGCTATAGATGTCACATAAATCTGTATTCTTTGAAACTTAGTAAAATTTCACAACAGGTATTCAAGTGTTTTTTTTTTTTTAATAATAATTTTGAAAATATTTTTATTTTTGTTTACGTTATTATTTTCGATGAATAAATTTCAAATGATTGTTATAGGACTCAAGAAATTATATTTAGTAAAAGTTATTATAATTATAAGCACATTGATTTTTATCATTATAAAAATACACGCGTAAAAAGATTCCAAAATCACCGAATCCGCCATAAATCAAAATTGTCCATTCAAAAAAAAAAAAACAATACCCGGTATATTTTCTCGGGGTTGATAATAAATTTAATGCATATGAAACTTTTTATACGATACACTTATAAAACGTAAAGTTAATACGGAAGTTATTGTCACCAAGTGTACATACGTATATACGGCACAACGTTGTTTTTGCTACCGTTTAACGAAAAATGTATTAGTAAATAATCGCAAAAATATTGTGCCTTCCCGCACGCGTTGTGCCGTAATAATGTTCAAAAAAACGTATTTTAACCGGAACCTGTTATAAGTAACCGGTACCTATGTATATTACGAACATTATAATATTTTAGAACGTCTGTCCGCATATTGTGTGTGGACACATAAAACAATCGTAATCATCATATTATTATTTGATTCAGTATAATTAGGATATTTTTTTTTATAAACGGTTTAAAACCATATCCACAGAGTTTACGTCGTTACCTGCATTACCGCGATTGTTCTGATTTCCACATTTTATGTCCGGTCATCCGGCGGGGAAAAAATTTCTTACATTTCAATATGTCTGTATGATTTTTTTTTTTTTTGTCGTAGACGGGATTTTTGCATAATATAAATTTCGAATACCGGGCCAAAAATGTCCGATCTGCCCTTGAATACGATAATGTTATATAAAATACGGACTACGAGTGTGTCAATGATGCTCACGGCGTAATAGTTTTGTATGTTGTACGAATTCATAGAGGTATTAGAGCACGCGGATTTATATGATGTCGAGACGTATTTGTCAATAATCGTAGTTCTTACGGATAATGGACATCGAACGCAAACCGATTCCGAAGTCATTTAAACTTTTTTTTGGTCGTATTTATTGACCGCGATTCAAGTGCGTGGATTCAACGTCTATTAATTACTTGATATTATTTACCATAGGCGGCGCAACCAAAATGTAAGTGTGCGTTGCACTATTGTAAATCGGATTTAACGTAAAAAAACACATACACACAGATTTTTGTCCACATTGAATTACTTTATGTACTTAGACTTTGTTTTACCGTCCAAATATTTTTGATATTATTATACACGAAACATATAAAGCCATAGTATAAAACATAATACAAGTACTTTTTTTTTTGATAACGAGGGTAGCACTGGCCATACAACCCATAACAATATTTAACAAATAATTTTATTATTATTTTTGCATAGGTATGGCATATCTTTCAGATAATTTAAATAAAAATTCAGAAAATAAAAGTAAATAACGGATAAAAAAACGGACGGACATACTTCCGCACTTCGGGTGGGCCACTGTTGTAGGTGAAATTTTGGGAGGTAGAATATAAAGGGAAATAAGTTTTATATCTGTACAGTGAACACAACGATTAATAATTGTTAAAGAAAAATATTTCTGAGCAAAGCAGCTCAGCCAATCGTATTGCTTTTTCAGTAATGTGCGTTTTCACGACAACAAAGATTGTTTAAAAATGATTAAAATGTTAAAAAAAATCTTAATTAAAAAATTAATAATAATGAACAATAAATAAAAACAGTTGCCAATGACAATTCTATTTTTAATCTTTTAATCTTTTTTAACATAAATAATTAGTTTTCCTCATTATCTCGAATATTAATGAGAATTTCAAAAAATGACCTTTTCAAAGTTCCAACCAGAGCCAAAAGCATCAAAAAAGGTTTTTGTCATTAAAGCAAAATTTCTGAGAGAAATTATTGATACAGTATAAAACAAAAAATAAACATCATTATAAAATCAATACATTCCTCGCTTCACTCAGAATCTAAAAATAATGTTAATAAAATGAATTGATTAATAACACAATTACATAGATAAATAGATAAGTCAAAAATTAGTAAATAATTAATACAAGATAATGGCCAGGATAATTAAATTAAATTTTAAGTATTTTTTATAATGGAGACAAATTCACTAAATCTTAGACTGTAAATGCAATTTTTAATTTTTCATCCAGATGATCGCTTCTGGTTCTGCTTTATGAAGTTCTTCAATGTCTCTTTCAAATTTTATTTTAGGGTAAACTATAGTTTGTACATCGAGGGCAATGATAAATCATTATATGATCAAGAAAACTGTTTTAACCGGACCAGAAATCAACAAAAATAAAACAAAAATATTTTCGTCAGTTTTTTTTTATTTTTCAGAAAACTACACTCAACGTCCGAAATTATTTTGTTTACGTATATTGACTTTAATTTTTTGAAATGAAATGCAATTTTTTCTCTGGTCATTGAATATGTCAAATTTACATACCAGTTTGCACACTTGGCAATTTAGCTATATAATATTATTCGTAGGTAGAGTATACGAGAGCAATAACAATAATATAAATAATAAAACGAAAGTACCTATACATAATATTATCATTATGTATTATTCATTTATCGTGAAAAAAAAAGTATATACATTTATAAATTATATCACATACATGAGTGAGGAGGAAGCGAGGGGGGCGTATAGTTTAAAACAACGATGATGGGCGCGAAACCGTAAATCGTTTCAACTCGATAATTAAATCGTTAAAACGATAATTTTATAATAATATTTTATCTTTTGACAGTGCGCGTTATATAATATTATACGTATATATGTATTAGGTACATCGGGAAAAAAGTATTTTATTCTTTTTTAATTCAAATGATACGCGGAGTGGTGGCTTTTTGATTTAAAATGTCATATTCGTTCATAAAAACGGTCATATTCCTTCACTTTAAAAGAGTATCGGCCAATAGATTATTGAAGTCTTACCATTATGTAGGTCAATATCCAAAAAAAGTTTATTTCGAATTTTACAAAATTGGTGAACATTTTGAAAAGTGACACTTTTGCTCAAATACATGTTTTATAGGATTGACTCTCCTGTCTCGTATAGAGTGATCAGTTTTCGATCATTTTATTATTTCGTTGGAAATATGAAGAACTCTTACAGGACGTATTGAACTTGGATTTTTAATATTATAAGTTCAAACGCTATAATTAGAGAAATTGAATATTACCAATTTTTACTATTTAAGGTTCCTTAACTGGAACGTATTTAGGGGGGAGGTCCAGAGAGCATTGGCCCTGAGCGTCACATTTCATTTCAAGAGGGCATCAAAATCTTTTAATGGTGAAATAGAAGTTGCTTTTTATTGTAAATATAAACCCCATTCCACGTTTACGCTTGTTCATAAGGCCATAAAATAATGCGCTTTAGAGCCCAAAGTTTACACTGTACAAAATATAAAATGTACAGCTCTAAATCCCAGTGTGTTGTAAATAAATGTGTTCTTATAAAAGGGCGCTAAAAATGCGTCTCTACCCCTGAATACAAATATAAAAACCAAATTTTTCGTTAAGACTTTTTGATTACCAATGTTAACAATTATTTGTTGTTAGCAAATATTGTTAATAACTTGTAAACAAAAACAACGAACAGAACGTTTAAGGTGTATATACCTACATTTGTTCTCGAGAAAAATATACCCAAACCTAATACAAATAATTTTATTATTACCATGAGTTTTCACCTATAAAATCGAATAGGTAATTCGTATGCGTCGGAGCGCGCGGGAATCGTAAAAAACCGTGTGTCCCGGCTTTCTCGGGTTGTAAAAGAACATTATAATGACTACAACTGAAATATTGTAAACAGGTAAACGTATACTCATATACGTATATTGCGCCCGTCCATTAAGAAGGAATTCTCTGGATATAATATGTATTATTAAAAATATATAAATCATTGAAATTTTAAGGCACAGGTACATGTGAATTCCGTTTTCTTATCGGCGAGATTAATTATATTGTATATATTCTGGTAGTACGTATGTATAATATACTAAACGCTTAAATAATAAATATAACGCGCGTTTAGGCATATTATATTAACGTTAAAAACCAATTAGTACCCAATAAAATAAAATACTCGATATAAAAATATGCCTAGTTTACATAATACATAGTATATACATAATAAATTAGGTATAAAAAAAAATTCTAAAAAACCATTTTTTTTTCCGTGCTCCGTATTTTATAGTAAAATATAACATTACTAATAGTCCATTATACATATATATAAAAAAAAAAAAAAATCGTTTCACAATAATACTTTAATACTATTATTATTATTGATGTACGAGTAGTATATACCTACTCGTAAAGGTTATACGCTTAAATTATCGGTTTCTTTCTCTCTCTCTCTCTCTCTCTCTTTCTATATATATATATATATATAAAAGAATAAGAAGATATATATATAAACGCTATGTGTTCCCCAACCTTTCTTATTCACTCGTAGATTTTCAAAATTCCCACTTTGTATCACCCTTTATGTTTTTTTTTAAATTAAAAATACATGCAATGTGTAATGTATACATATATTCCGATATTTTGTTTAGCGTATAAGGCATATATAAGTACTTGGTCATTTTTTAGTACACAGACCTCCTAACCCTAATTATTATTATTTACACGCTAAATAATAAACGGACTCAATGTAAAGTGCTCGCTCCTTAAACCATCAACATTGTGTTATTATATTTTCAATATTTTTTTATACCTATAACTGAGAGTATAATAGTAACGTTATTCACCGTTCGGTAGTAATTATACATTTCGGTAGAATGCAGCAGTGGTTCTCAACCTATTTGCAGTCGCGGAACACCAGGTGACTCATTAATTAACACTTCGGGACCATTTAAGGTTTTGGTTCAAAAACTCAAAAGCTGTAGCTTTTTTTTAAATTTCCGACTGTAGATTTATGTAATAAATTTAATGAAATATTTCCAAATTTTCTTACACGGTTTAAACAATACACTAAAAATATAATTTTTTTAATTCAATATATGAACCAGCACCTTTTATATCGCGAATGTGTCCCTTATTCATGACAGTACATATACAAATTTGCGGCAGAACACAATCTGTACACAAGAAAAAGCGTTTCGATTATTCGTAAATTCATACAATATACCTATACGCAGTGGTGTAACAAACGTGATCTTTGAGAAGCGGTTGCTTCTCGAGTTTATTTAAGATTAAGAGTTGAGTAATTGTTCAATTGGAAAACAATTGAATTTTAGCACTCATTTACTAGTAATTCAATAAAAATAGCAGAAAATATTGGCGAATAATACGTGCTAAGTATATTATAGCTTGCTTCTGGATTATTATAGGTTCTACTAGATTCTTTTAGGTCTATAACGTCTGCTAGTAGGTCTGACTGCGGGCAAATCGGTTATTTTATCGATTGGGTTAGGTTTTTATAAATTATAATTAAAAAATGAAATATCGGATGTTGTTGTTGGTTAGTTTTTGTTCTAGAGGCCTTCTGTCGTAGTTTTTGACCGAATAAAATATAGGCCTCGCTTCGCCTGTGCACGCACAATAATAATTAAGACATAAAAATAAATTAATAAGGAAGTAACTATTATATTATATTATAATATTATAGTTTCGATTAATTTGTATCGTTCCTATGATTTAATAGGAAGGTATATTAATAGTTATTCAAATGATAGTTTTTTTTTCTTTCGATTATACAAAAAAAAAACCATACCTACTTATTTATATTAGCAAAATAAAATTTAAAAAATTGTTTACTCGGGTTTAGCCGTAGCTGTATCTATGTATTTATTAATATAATAATTATATACCTATATACTATTATTATAATATACCGAAAATCGAAAATTAATTATATAATTAGAAATGAAAATCCTTGAATCGAATCCTAATATTGTTTTTAAACACGTATTTAAATAATATATTTTATAGATACATATACTTATTATAGTACCTACTTACCTGTACAATGGTACTCGATGTAATACGTCATAGCTTTGCGATTTTTAACGAATTGTTGAAAAAAAAAACCACCGTTATGTACAGGCAACTATTTAGTTAATCGGTTATGACTGATGAAATATTAAAAAAAATTAAAATAAAATAAAACGGTATCAGTTACACAATAATTGTTTAGTGTATAATTACAATTATTTTTATGTTAATAAATTTCGAATGACGACGGATATTTCGGGTATTGTTGTGGCAATGTGGATGAAATAATAATTAATACTATTTATATTATATTCGGTGTATTATTTTTATTATGCCGTCAATCAATAGATGCCGTCGACCATATTTTTGGAATATCGAACAATGCATAATGATTCGTTTTTCGAATTAATTACGATATCTTAAAATACACGATTATTGTGTTCGAAATCACGAATGACGAGACGAAGATTAATTATTTAAATTCAGCAGTCAAAGTAGGATAAACTTCGAAAGGGGTCTATATTTTTCGGAAAATTGAGGGGCGTACTGGGGAACTATAATAAAACCTAACTAAACTTTCAGGAAACCCATCACGAAGACAAAACTTCTAAAATGTTTTTCTCACACATACATTTGTTCATAATATTATATTACACTAAGAAGGTTTAAAATAAAGTGACCCCCTCCCCCGCTCAAATTTGTCCAGTGCACATGTATGTTCAGTGAAAATATAATACAAAAGAGTTTGATTACGTGTAATCAAATAGGTGTTAAAGAATTCATTTTTCGAGTTTTTAAAATTGTATCAAAAATATGTCTCAATGACAACTAAAGCGTCGCTTCGGACTTCGAACACTTAAATTAAAGAAGACTCATAATTGTATCGTAAATAATAAGTGGAATCATCCCCCCTCACTTTAAACACTGTATTAAATTTGTATTTTATGGATAACTATATGTACATATGTACCTCTATAAATATAATAAATATATGCATTATGTGAAAATTTCAGGTATCTACGATTATTTTAAACCGAATTATAACAGAACAAAATCGAAAATAACGAAACCGTTATTTCCATCACGAATCCTATGTTTTTTTCCCGTATTTTCACAGTTATTCAGAAAACTACAAGGAACATAAAAATCACGTTCTTATGCACCGTCTGGACAAAATTTGCTCCTGTGGATAAAATGGTTATTCTTAAAATTTGCAGTGAAATTTCCGATGGAAGAAAAAAAACGAAAATAATTAAAATTGTATAGCCGTAATAGTTTGTTCGTTTTGCCTAAATGTATTTTTTGATTTAAAAAAATTACTGGGGAAATCATAAAATGTAATCTAGTATGGTACATCGAAGAGGTACCATACTAGATTAAAAATGCACCGTTCCGAATCTAAAAATAAAAATATTTTATGAACATTTCAGATTTCTATAAATATTTTTAAACGAAATAAAACAAAAAAATAAAATCAAAATATTGAAACGCTAGCTGTAGTAAATCCTTATTTTTTCAATTATTAAAAAGAAAAACCTAATACTACACACGCAAAAAATAATAATTTTTAATTATTTAATTTTCAATTATTAAATAACCTAACCTAACGCGTTTTCAAATAACTATAATTATTATAGGTAGGTACTTATCATAATAACATTGTAAATAAATGACGTTCGTCGCATTATAATATTATCTAACTGGGCCTAAAAAAAAAAAACCAGCTTAATTTTTTTTTCGTATACCTATACCTACTATAATACTGTTTCCGTTGATAAAATACAGTATTATTAATTCGATCGTCGAATCATTTAAATATTATTAAATCATTTCAAATCACGATTCACAGACTATTATAATCTAATTTTATAGTATTAAAAACGCGATGTGTTGGTGATAAAATATTACTATACATTGTATACAATATAAGTATACACAAACCTAACCTAACCTAATACATGGCGTTTTAAATATTATAATATTAGATTATCTACCGGACCCTATATTATGAAACGAAAGGCTGATATGGGCATGTCACTGTTTTATGTTAGATGGGAGGATGTATAGAGTAATATTTATTAACATCTGTTCGCAACGAAAAACGATTCTGAACTGAGTATTATTAGTCGTATATGTCCCATTGGTTAACCGGCAAGCAACACAAATTATAAGTGTAGGTACAGGAGCAAATTTTATAGTAGAAAAGTTGTTTACAAACAACAACAAAAAACGTCATAGTAAAACCAATACATTCCTCGCGTCCACCGCAAAATTAACTAGAAATGTATATAAGATCCGAGATACGGTATTTTTCGCTGCCGAAAAGTGATAAACTTTTTCCGTATCTAGTAATTCGTACGACTTCGGAGTTCTGCCGTTCAATGATGGTTTTTAAACGCATATTGTTGTCAGTAAAAAGCTATTTTTTTGTTATACCCTAGTGTATCAATGATGTAATTTTGGTTGTGCGTTATTCATAGGCGTGCGCAGGACTTGGTGGTAGATGTTGCTGAAAATTATTAATTTATAAGTGTTTAAGCTTTAAGAGCTTTATAGATCATTTACGTTTTATAATAATAGTACTTTTTCTTCAGTCTTGAAAATATTTTTGATCGATACAAAAATGAAATTTATTTTATACAATAAGTCAATACATATGTAATAATGATATAAAAAAAATTTTATAATAGCAATAATCTAATAAAATAAATGAGTCATAACACTTAAGTCAATTTCAATATTACAATGCTAGACGTCTTTCCCCGGGAACTAATACTTTAAAATCTTCAATGACATCATTGTAATCAATTTGAGTCAATAGGTCTTTGCTCTAAAAATAATAACAGTAAGGAATCAAGTTTATCGTGTTTCATTGTATTCCATAACTTTGACTTGACTAACGAACGTTTTAAAAATGATCTCTCACTAAAACTGCTAGTGACTGGAATAATTTAAAATGTTTTTAAAATATCAAAAAAATAAGTAAATATATTTAGTCTATCTAACTAAGGTAACCGTTTTATCCAATTTTCTGTAGATTCAGAAGAAGTTTTTTCAGGATTATCTGGAAGTTCTTTTAGTAATTTGATTTCTGTTTTAAAATAATCATAATTAACTTTAAGTTTTTCATGAAGCAATTGTATATCATTATCTGTAGGAATCAGTATTAATAACAATTAACAAGTTACCACAATTATTATTTACATGATATTAGATTATCATTATCACAACAAATATTAAGTGGGTTTTTATGGAGGTACCAGTTTCATAGTTTGTTATGTATAATTATATCTATGTGGTCTGTGGAGGTACCAAGAGCGAATCATTTACACTTAACAACATAATTATTTATTATCAACAATACAACATATTAGTGTAAGAATCAGCTTATTGTAAAATATTTTGAAATAATATATTAACAAATTTAATTTTTAATGTTTCTTATTTTGTAAATTTTAATTACAGTTTTGCTATTTGCTATTTGCTATTTGCTATTTGCAGCCCGCAGATTTTGCTGTAGCATACCCTGCAACACCCGTGTGCACTCCTATTATAATAATATAATATTATAATATTATTGTGTACGTAACCGACGACGTCCAAAATCACCGAAAGACAAACTTAACGATACCAGCGTCGTTCGTCGCACATTTTAGTATCACGAGATGATGTAAAAAGATAAAATACTACGCGACGTGGACGTGTCAGAATATAATATATATATATAATATTATATAGGCGTGCGTTAATAATAATAATAAAAAAAATAACTACATCCATACCTACGTTACGTTCTTTTCTTTGTATGCTAAGATGTACATAGCGCGCCGCCAAAACTATATAGAAATCTATAAACGTATAGCTGGTAGAGCCGCACGGGCGTACAAAGAGAAAGAGAATAAAAATATTATATTACGGCGATTCTCGTTTTATTTTAATTAATTTTTTTTAGGGGGTTTTTTTTCTATTAGTTTTAGTTTTGACGTTTTTCTTTATTTATTATTGTTTCCGTCTTATCGCAGGTGGACATCAGCAACGACGAGTTCCACTGCAAGTATTTGGAATATTTCTGGCGGTTGTACGCGAACGACGACGGCGATGACGAAACGGCAGCGGTAATAAACGGTACCAGCCGTGGAGACGACAACGGCGTATCATCGGTAGGAGTACGGGGTCGTACGGTCATCCATGACGTCGACGTCGGATCTCCGGTTCCGGTGCCCGAAGGTACGTTTTTTTTTTCGTTTGTAGATTCTAAACAAAGCGAGAGCTTGGTTTAACTATTTTTTCGGTCTGTAAACAACTTATCCACCAGAAACGTAACAGGACAATAACGAGAGACCCTTTTTTTTTTGTTGCATTTTGGATATCTAGTAAATCGTATTATCGTGGAGGTAATTGTTTTGATTTTTCAAGCGAATTTCAGTTTTTCTCAATCAGAGTGATTGAGAAAAACTGAAAAAAAAAATACGCATAGGAAAAACGGACGAATATTTACGTGACCGTAACGATTTCGTTATTTTACATTTTTACGATTTTTATTTTCTACTAGAATCTTATTCCACATTTCAAGAGTTTCTGAAAGAAAATGTTGTCTATTTGGTGAACAATAAAGTCATTTTTTGATTTTCTGTCAAGTTTTCATAATAATTGAAAAAGCCGGGAAAGAAAGACGGTCAAATTTACGTCGTTAACTATTTCATTATTACGAAAGTAGTAAAAATTACAGCATTTCAAACCATGTACAACCAAACTACGCTCAGAACAGTTTTTCGCTAGTCATAGGTTGTCGTTGCATGTAGATATAAATTCATGTATTAGGATACATATTACTTATTTTACCTTCCCGTCTAAAGCAGCAGCATAATCATTCCCAATATTAGCTATTTTAGATTCTGAGTGGAGCGAAGAAGCTTATGGCTTTACAAAGATGTTTATTTTTTTATTTTTTTTTTTTGTGGGCAACTATTTTATGTGATCACTTTTTCTACCAGAATGCATACTTCGATTATCAAGTATACCAGCTTTTCTGAAAGGAAATGTTCTCTGGGTTCTCTCTTCTTTGGAGAGGTAATTTTTTAAAATTCTCATTAATATTCGAGATAATGAGAAAAACCTCGGTCTTTAGATTAAAAAGATTAAAAATAAGGTTTTCATTGACAATCGTTTTTATTTATTTTTTGTTATTATTCAGTTTTTATTATTTTAATCTTTTTAAATAATCATTGTTGTCATTGAAACGCACATTGTTGTATACATTTTACCATATATCATATACCATATATTGTATTGTTGACAAAGTAACATTATCAATTGATCTTCGCTCAGAATCGCTTTTTCGTTAGCAATAGTTTATTGTTCTTTACAGATATACATTAAATTTCAGGCTGTATCCTACCTTCTCACTTACAACAGTGGCTGTACCCACGGTGCAAAGTATGTTTCTCGTGTTTTCATTTCACATAGTGTGTTCCTCAATATTATTTTTACCAGCAATAAATTAAAAAAAATAATTTAAAACAAATTTATCGCCTCTCCCTTCACATAGCTGTCCTAGACTTCAGCTTGTTAAACCTGACGTTAAGTTCACGCCATTATTCTTCTTCATCTCGTCTTTTTTTCCCAGGGTTTATAACAATATAACAACAACATACAATTTCTTTGCGCGTCTGCATTTTTCTCAGTTGTTCGGGTATTTTTTTAATTTTTTTTAACAAAGTTTGTGTACAATTATTACGCTAATTCAAAATGTTATTTCAAGAAATTTGTCACCAGTTTTAAAGGTGAACATTTTCATTTATATTTTTACGTTTTTTTTTTTCTTAAAGAATTTTTTTTTCCTATTCGTGCATTATAAAACTGTCGATGTTTCGTATTATTTATATTTTAATAATAATAATGATGTTACGGTCGGGGGAAAAAAACGATTGTCATAGTTTCGTCACCGCCACCACAGCTACAGTAATTTAGTTGTACGCACTATAATGATAATGTCATGATTGGCTGGTATATTGCAACACGTTACTCATACGCGAGATTACCCGGATGTACCTATATACCTATATTCTATATATATAATACCTATAGTTCTGTACGATGATGTGCGAATACTGGCCGTACGTAATTATTTTGGATTTATGGTATTTCCCGGGGTTGGACCGACGGCAACATATATCCCGGGCTCATCTGTCGGATTCATACAAAATAATATTCTCGACTAGTGATGAGCACTATCTATTTACTCGGTTGTTTCTAAAAACTACCAACTATCGAAATTATCGGACTATCGAATAGTTCATTCTATTGATAAAAATATCTCGTCGAAAAAATACTCGATTGTTTTTCAAAACTATTCGGTGCTACTACTGAATGAAAACTATCGACTAGTTCATTCTATAGTTTTCATAATAATCGATGAATAACAATATCTATTCAATCGATGTATCATCCGGTTGTTTTTTTAAACTATCGGTTGACAATCGATAGTCCAAACTATTTAGTTTTGTCCATCACTATTCTTGTTGTGTACGAATAGGTGCTTTAAATGCGTACGTTCCTATTATAGTTATTCCTAGTTATGAGTTATTCTCGTTATTGTTTTTGGCGTATTATCGCTCAGTAGTAAACTGTAAAAAAATAAAACTATATATATGTATATTATTATACAGAGTAATGGATATAACGCAAGACACTAAAATTATCTTAGAAAGTAAACACAATATGTCGGTAATATTTTTTTTTTTTGAGGAACAATATTAAAAAACGCGAGCAACTCTATAAAATGTTGCATTGCCGTTATTTTATCGTCACCTATATGTCCGGAAGTAAAACCATCATTGTAACCGCGTTTTGACACGGCAACATGTCCGTATTAAAAACTCGATAAATAGATGACATTTTAAGGTTGAAATTGTTCACTCCCGTCAACCTGTTAACAAGATATTTAATGTCTAAGTTTGTTATTTTAAGGGCGGGCTAAGAGTAGTGGAATGTCACGCAGTAGAATATCTCGAAACGATTTGACGGAAAATGTAGTGATGGTTTCACTCATCAAAGGTGATGAAAAATAAAGGTAACAGGTTAAACAAATAATATTATATTTTAGAGCTGCCCATTTCTTATGCAACAAAAAAATAATTCTGAATAAAGCGAATACTTTCCGAAATAACGCGGGGTGTCTTACGTTATAATTATTGTTCGGGTGTTGTAGCTCAATACAAAATTTGATAAATCACTTAACATAAAGCAATAATGTAATAAAAATCCTAAAAAAAGCACCGAATATCCTAAAAAAAAACACTAATAATTATTATATTATCATTAATTAAAACTGAAAAAACTCACTCAGAACTCTGTCACTAGAGTAGAATTTTCTCCCAGCTGACTTGTTGCCGTTATAAAATTGCATGATTTTTTTTTATTTTGAAGAAGAATTGAACACAAATTTTTTTATTAAAATATATAAAACAGCTGTCGAGATTTTCGATAACATACAAATAAACGGTGAGGTAGGAGTTTTTACACTCAAAGAGCGATTTAAAACATGCTATTTTCTGTAAATAAAACATAACATCTGAGCATTTAAATGGTTAAAAGTTTAAACCACCAAAAAGCTCATCCTTGAAACTTACACCATATTTACACAAAATGTAATTTTCCTGGCTTCATTTAGAGGATCTGTAGGTGTGTACAACGCTTAAAATACTATTTTCGTGTAAAAACACGGTAAAGTTCACATTGAAATTCATTCAAAATCGTATCACTTCAATTTGCTAATAAAAAAAAACTCTAGTTCTCAAGCTTGAACTCTTTTAGTCTAGAGAGAGGTTAGGTTAGGAGCCGCTAAAAGTGGCCAAATGTACCATAACAAGATATTTAAATATATATATATTAGGATGGTCCTTATTTTGTAAATTTCTTCAAATTTCTTCCAAGTCAACCCCCCCCCCCTATCTCATATCATGTAGTAAAAAAATGATATCCTCAAAGTTTGAGGCCATTTAAATAATATTTAGTGGAGGCGGAGGCGCACTGCGTTTGAATATTTAATAATATCAAAAATGCATTAAATCAAAGAAAATAGTGTTCAATAGACGAATATAGTTCGTTTGGATTTAATTTTTTTAATATAACATTAAGAACTTATTTTAATCTTAAGGCCTTAACAACTTTTTTGTTGCCATATGTATGAGGACTTTTTAATTAAATACGCTAAGAAATTAATAAACGCTTAATTATTTTAGATTTTCTTACTTTTTTGATACATTTTTATCATGTTCCCATAAAGATGAATCTTTATTCAAAAATTCCATGTTTATCTTAAAACGGTTAAAAAATGAATTGATTCAGTAGTTATGAATTGTTTTAATCCAGATTTAATAAATTTTTCAACAGCTTGTAATCGTAAACAAATTGTTTTCAATGAATCTTCAGACCTATTAAATTTTAATGCAAAAACAATTTTTTTCTTTATGTCGATGGATACACTTTTATCAAAAAATGCCGATGATGCATTTTCAGAGGATAAATACCATGAATGGTTACTACATTTTTCAATAGTCACACGACTTATACTTTCGTTGATATCCTTAAACAAGTAAAGACTTTTAAGAAATTGAAAGTCAGAAAATGGAGCTTCAACTGTATTTGAAGAATTTATCCAAGCTATTATATGTATCTATGAAAGAAAGATCCAAATATTGCAAAATCCATTTAAATCTTTATTTTTAATAAGAAAAATATTAAATCTAGACTATAATAGTAAACTATTTTTACAACTTTAAGTTAAAATAGGGTTTACACTAAATACGACTATTGTAAGTCATAAAGTAAAACTATGATACAATATTGATAAATATTACGTATTTTTATAATACCATTAATACCTATTAAAATATCCGTAATCTAATATAACAGAAAAACCAAAATATAATGTACTTTGACTAAGCTGTTTATCACTATTTTATAATATATGAGTTAACAAGACTAATAATACGTACACCAATAGCAACAAAGTTACATCATCAAAAATATTTTAAAATACATTGTGGAATATATTTTAGAAATATTTTTGTGTAGATTTTTTTTAGATTCCGAGCTTATTGAGGGAACTATTGGTTTTACAATGCTGTTTATTTTTTTTCTTTACAGACACGTTTTTTCCTTTCTTTTTCCTTAACTTGCTCCGATATATAAGTATAGCGTCTTTTCTGAAAGCTCAAGTTGTCTATATTATACATTAAAGAGTTCATTTTTTGATTTAGACTCCAATTTATAAATATAAGCACTTAAGTGGAAAAAAACGTAGGAAAACCTATAATTTCACGATTTCATTATTTTATAAAAACACGGACGATTTTTTCTACCAGAAACAATTATTTAATCGAAAAATCACAAGATACCTTTTTGATTTACTTTCTTAGGCCTTGTTTACACGTGACAAGTACTCGGCCGTGTCACTCGTTATGTTGCTCGGTCTAGTACCGGAATTGACCGAGTGAAGCGTTTACACGCATTGTATTTGCTTGGCCGAGTGACTACCCCACTACCGAGATTTTAATCCACTTCCTCAACATCGGAGAGATTTGATTTACATAATCCTTGAAAAATTGTTTTATTTTACGATGACGATTCATACTAAATAAATATTTTTGATGAAAAAATACAACTACAGGTTAAGACGCCACAACTATATATTCACAACTACTGAACTACTCGTTACACGACACTCGACTAGCGGTTTAGACACGCCGAGTACCATACATCTTGGTAGTGGGGGTAGTTACTCGGCCCAGCGAATAGAAACTGTTTCTATTTACTCGCTCGCTTATTTTACTCGTCCGATTACTAGGCCGAGTACTGGTTCCTTGAGTTCACACGGGACAGTGCTCGGCCGAGTACTCGTCACGTGTAAACAAGGCATTATGGTATCATTACCAAAACTTTTGAGCCACTTTTTTTTTTTTTGTAATCGTTTTGAAATTAAATTTAATCGAAACTCGTAAAAAAATTACGGTCTTCAGACTCTGTATTATCGAACTGTGCTCGGTTCGTCTTTCGTCAGCAATTACTTATCGTTGCTGACAGATATAAATGAAATAACCTTATGTATTCTACCTTCTCAACTTCTGACATACAACAGTGACCGCTCCTGTACCCAGTAACAGTTCTTTTTTTTTTTTTATTATAATAATTCAATAAATAAGCAGTTCTTAAATGTTACATTTCCATTTTTTTTTTTGTTTCCCTTATTTTGAAGGTAAAATGACTACGTGCTATTTATATTCAAATGATAGTATAAATTAATAATTTTATAAATAGACGAAGTATTAGTTTAAATAAACTTTGATGTTAAAATTTTTGATTTCCGTCAATCAGTTTACGAGGTAATATTGCACTTTTAAGTTTGTGTAGTCATAGAGGAAAAGTAAGTAGTGAAACATCATTTGTGTAGCGCCACGAGTAATAGTACTCGAATATCTACTCTCCCCTATTCAAACTTAGAAGTGTTATATCTCGTCAATGGGTTGACGGATATCAAATATTTAAACATTAACATTTATTTAAAGTAATTTTCCATCTTTTTATACCATTTTTAATAAAGGTTGATATTTGAAAATTAAAAATAGGTGTTCTTTTCACCCTCAACAATAAGGCAATAAAAATAACCGTTATATAATATTTTAGAACTAATTATTGATCTATAAAATGAATTCCGAAAAAAATTAATGCTTTCTGAGATAATGAGTGTCTAACCATAAAATAATCACCCTGTACATACCATGTATAATAGAGACACGATACAGTGCAATTTTGGAGAATATTCGACCTAAAAAAGGCAAAAAATAGCAAAACACAATTTAATAATACTATAATCCTACAAAGTATAGGAAACAAATTTATGACTGATGTAGTTTCATAATGGACCAATAGAAAAAAAAAACAAACTTTTCTTATTATATTAATCACTCTGTATATACTTGAAAAAAAAATATAATAGCGGCCAAAGAAATAAACCAAAATGTGGGTGCAATATTTTACATCATATTATAATTATTATTATCTGACGACGATAATTTGGCGACGACGCAATCTCAATGAATCGGCCCGCGTGCCGCGGATTACCGTTAACAAATCTTCCATAATATTGTTATCTCGGCGAACATTCGACAGTTGAGTATATTATAATATTGTTTATGATTGTATTTATAATTTATAATTGTTTATAATATTGTATTATAATATAATATTGTATTATAATATAATATTGTTATACATGCGAGAAAAATTACTATAGTAAACACTAGCTGTCCCACATGGTTTTACCCGTGTTTGTGTTAAACAAAAATAAAAAATTTAAATAACTAAAATCCTTCTCTGTGATTCTTTGTTCCACCCGTCATCATCATTATTGTTATTATAGTTTTAAAAATATATTTTCTTCTCGTCAGTTAAACTTTTAATTAATCCTTCATCCCTTTCTAAGCTATTGCCTATACATTGTAGGTACAAAGAACTTGTGTTCAACATTTAAAGTTTCTAAACTCAGTGGTTTGGATTATGCGTTTTATATCCCACATGGTGTTATCCGTGCACAGTATTTACCGATAATAAAAAAACAAAAAAAAAAAAAAACCGACATACCTCATATGACGGATGGTGTTGTTACAACACTCCAGTGTTGTAAGTGAGAAGTTGAAAAAGTAGGATAAAGAGAGGAATTTAATTTATATTTGTATACAAAGATAAAACATTACTAACGAAAAACGATTCAGAAAATAATTCAGTTATAAATGTTTTGAAAGACCGAAAAATTTACGATTTTCGGCAGAATTTAAGATTAAAACTCTTTAAAAAAAAAAAATACTGCATTAAATTAAATTTTTATTTTTAAAGTATTACTTATAATGAACCTCGTATTAAATTTTCAATTATTTGTGTTTAGTATTACAGTTTTATCCACAGAGTACCTATTGAATAAAAATCACGTAAGAAACTCACAAAATAAAAATATTTATTAATAGCTTAAAAATGGCTCAAATGTTTTAAATATTTTACCACGCCTAGAAAAAGCAAATTTAAGTTTCCTGTCCAAATTTAAAGTTTTTACGGTTATTTTTAGCTGAATTACAAAAAAAAAAAAAAAAAAACAAAATTGAAAATAATATATTTCATAAATGTTCCTGTTTCCTCAATTTGTATGAAAACTGCTTGGTAAATCAAATGACCTCTTTAAAGTAATAAGTAGATACGTTTCTTTCAAAAAAGATGCTACACTTAATACCATCGAAGCAAGATTTCTGATAGAAAAATTGTTCACAGAATAAAGAAGAAAAAAAGAAAAAGTATACATCATTATAAAACCAATCTAGTTAGATCCAACCAGATAAGTTAGATGGTTCACAAATTTTCCAATTGTTACTTCAGCTATTGTTTTATTAATTTTTAGATACTCGTGTAACTTTCTTAAAAATTATAAAAATTATATGTATTACAATTATAAAAAAATTAAATTAAATTAAAAATTATCAAATTTACAAGCGATGGAGGTCATATTATATAAAAATTTAATGAGGAATCAATAGCAACTCCCCCTTTTCCCGCAGTCTATATGGTCTGCAAGGAAACAGGATTATAATATAAACGGATGGACCTATGAGGAAAGTCACTATAAGCTAATTTAAGATTCCAAATGTAGCTAAGAAGCTAATTTGTTTTACTGCATACGTTATGCGTTATGTGTTTTCTCCATAATATTTTAAATTATAGTAAAAATGCTTCGATTTTTTCACGCAGTTTTATTATTCAAATGATTTTTTTAAATTCCGGACAGTTTTCTCAAACAATTTTTATATACGTCGGTTTGATTTTTGTCGATTTCTAATTTACCTTTTAGTTACTAAAACACGATTAGTAACATGGTTTACTTGTAGGTAAAATACCGATCTATCCGATATTACAATCGTAACGATTTACCAAATTATATTTAAATTAAACATCACTTTATATAATGTACCCGCCTTATATTGTACTTTTAAAGTTTCAAACTCATCCGCTGTGTAAAATATACGTTAGGTTTTATTTTTTTATTCGTAGGTATACACAAAATATGCTAAATATAATAGTTATGGGTCTTGGTATGACAGATTCTGGTTCTCGGTTCTTTGGTTCCGTCGGTTTGGTTAGGTTAAGTAAGGAACCGAATTATCGGTTCTAACATGATTATTTATCGATGGGTTTTTTCATAATTTGTTTCTTTTAGTAAATATATCGGTTTTTACGGAAAGACTGTAATTATGACCGGGCAATATTAAAGTGATAATTGATAAAATAATATATACCGTATTTTGGTATAAGTAGATATAATTGTTCTTTTATTAATTCCACGCTAAAAATTAAAATTAAAAAATACGGACTTACTTCGTATAATGGGTGGGCCACTGTTGCAGAAGAGCAGTTTAGAAGATAAAATATAAAGGGAAAATAATGTATATTTGTACGCGACAATTAATCATTGCTAACGAAAAATGATTTTAAGCAGAATTCGGTTAAACATGTTTTAAAACTTTATGACTTCGTCAAAATTTTATATTAACTCTTAAAAAAAAAAATACTACACTAAACTAATTTGTTCAACTACAAAGTACAACTTAAAATGACCAACCTGTTAAATTTTCAAGTATTTCTGTTTAATCTTACAATTTTAGCCACAGAGTATCTACCGAATAAAAATGACGTAAAAACTCGAAAAATTAAAATGTCTATAAATAGCTTAAAAATGGCTCAAATCTTTTGAAAATTTTACCATGTTTAAAAAAGGCAATACAAAGTTTCTGTCAAAATTACAAGTCCTTACGTACATTTTAAATTAAATTAAAAAAAAAAAACAAAAACAAAATTGTTAAATAATAAAAGCATTATTTTCGTAAATGTTCCAGTTTTTCCAAATTATTATATGAAAACTACATGAAAAATTAAAAAATAACATCCTTAAAGTATCGACTAGATGAAATTTTCTTTTATAAAATGCTACACTTAAAAATCGGGGTAAGACTTTTGATGGAAATTTGCAGTATTTTAAAAAAAATAATAATAATAATAAACATTATTGTAAAACTGTTACATTAATCGCGCTTAGCTCAGAATCTAAAAGATAAATTGATTTGTATCCGAAATACGAATTTTTTGAATCGAAACAAGAACCGATGTTCTTCAGGAACCGGCCCATCTTTACTAAACATATGCCGTTTGAACGTTGGCCGAAAATTTACGGTTACAATATTGTATCCCATATACGTATAATATATGTGTCGAGAGCCGAGTAGGAAGTCGGCCAATGCGATGAGTAATGTTCGTCTCGTTCCATATTACGCGCGACCGAGAAAAACATATGTGCCAAGTTAAAAAATATCGGGAAAATAATTCGTAGCTGCACCACGATTCCGTCGTTTTACATGTGTTACACGTGTGTCCATCATTTGATTCACATTGTATTTTATATATATTACATAATAATATAATACGTTAAAAAATAAAACAAATAAAAAATTGTGTTTTTCGGTAATATTTCGCATATTGTTATTATATCATATTAGATTTAATATCACTGATTTTATAATTTAATACAATAGTGTAAATATCGAATTGCATTAATTTGAGTCAAATATTAGTTTAACACATTAGTTTAAAGAAAATAGTTAATGGTCGAATTTATAGATCGAAAAAGTGTTACAATGAAAATGTGTAGAAAAAAAAACAAACTTAATTTAAAAATTCACTAATTTTCAGGGAAATATATTTTAACCGTTGGCGTAGGAGTTTTTATTAAATATTTTCTTCTTCTTCTCAAACTTTTACGGTCTTTGACGAACTTTCACTACCTCTACTGTTTGCTTAACTTCATCTGTCCACTATTTTGATACTCCCTGTGTGCATTTGTTTGTATCATTATTGACTCTGACCTCCTGCCTGCCCAAATTTGTTGTTGCTGTGCTAGTAAAATATATAATTAAAATTTTTGTTTTGAACTTATAAAAATATTATTAAATCCTTTTACGTAGAAGTCTTAAGTAGGAACAGGATAAATTGCTTAATAAGTTATTCGGCTTAAGCGTTTTAAATTCAGTTTAAGTTGATGAATCTTGATATACAGAATATTCCTAGTGCTGTAGTGGGAAGGTAAATAAGCGTTTTTGCAAACCTTGTAAATCAAGTTGTTTTTTTTTTTAAATATCATTTTTTTGAGTTTTTGATCCAAATGTAGATGGACCGTTATCTGTTTTTGATCCGAGTGTAATTCGACCATTTTAATTTAGGTAATATTATTATATTAATTTCAAAAATATTTGTATTAATTAACATAATTATTCGATTACCACCTAATCCTAAAGAACAGCATATTTCAAAGTTAACTAGTTAGGTATAATATTCCAAGGGACCAGACGCTCAACCTTTTTTTTTTTATAGAAAAAACTAAGACTATTATAAAATGAACCGATTTCGATTGTATTTTTTGTTTGTTGGAAATGTGAAAACTTTTTATACAGAGTGCAATTTAACTTGGATTTTGAGAACTGTGTTTCTAAAACGCTATTATGTAGTCAGAGTTTAGATATTATCACCAATGTTCGTCTTATTTTTTTAATTTTTTTTTTTAAAGAATTTGGTTTGGGGTTTTTATTTGCGTAATCAAAAATCCAAGTCCAATGCACCTATGTATATAGGAAAAAGTTTTTCTCTTTCAAACAGAAAAAAAAGTTTTAAATCGAATCACTCTATGATGCATCGACATTTTTTTTGTAAATCATGTTTTGAGTCAAAAAAAAAAAACAGGTCGTATGCAAGCCCCTTAATTTAAAAATTAAAACCAATTGAATTATTTGTAATAAACTTTACTGTATTATAATATATAAATATTAAAAATTTGTTGAAAACTTCGAATTTTTGTAAAAATTTGAAAACCACAAGGACTCTATTTAAACTTAATGTAAATTAGGTAAACCGATCGTTTACACGCACGTGATGGTTAATTTTAGATAGCCAAGCGAAAAAAAAAATATAGCGGATGTCATTGACGGATTTAGATCCCTGTCCCAAAAATATTACGATGCTTTACATTAATATTAATGGTTGTTCTCTTTTTTGTACAAGCATAATATAATAATACTATTAAAATATTATAATAACATACTATATACGAGTATATGTTCATATTTTGTAAAATTAATTTTCCCTAAGTATAATACAGTTATTGGTGTTCCTATACATTTTTTAAATAATATGTAATAAAGGTACTTAAAGTATCTTTCTTACGGTATATAATGTTTATAAGAAATTAAATATCAACTATGCAAAAATTAAATTAAAATTACCAAAAAAAAACTCATTTTTTTTTTAAAAAAAAGTACTATAAATCGTAAGAATATTATGAATATTTTAGTTTACTGAAATAAATACAATTTGTACTACTATTATTGTTTGAGACGAATTTTTTGTTTTCCAAAAACTATTTGAGAGTATACGTAGTGCATGCCCATGATTTTTGTTTTCCTAATCATTGTCCAAATGACCACGTGTGATTGATGTGGTCAGATGTTGACATTAACAAATAATAAACTGTAGGCTTGGCGCATTTTCCATGCGTTATTATAATATTGTGATTTAAATCGGTCATTGGCGCAATCAGGATTTTTTGAAGGGGGTGTCACATGTCCACATTAAAAAAAATAATACGTCTTTTAACACATTTATATTACTTAAAAATGGATGTAGGGTGCGACTCCCTTGGCTGCAACACTGAAATCGATACACTACGCTACACTGGTTTGTTTACAAGATTACAATATATTAATATTTACAGCAATAACGGATATTGTTAGGAGGCGATTGATGGATAGCCCTATTCTCTTGGGAATTTCATCATCATTATATACTTTTACCTATAACTTAATATTTAAGAAATTGTACCCCATTACCCTTTTTAAATTCACTCCCTCACAACCGGTATTTATCCGTCACTAATTGACAGATATAACTATGATATTATATAATGTTTTCCGTCTAACTGCACTTGTATACACTTTTCGCCTATTTTGCTCACTTTACGATTACTAGTGCAAGAAACGATGCCAATTACATATGACAGTGTATATAGTACGTAATCTTATCCACACGAGTGAAAAAAACGACCAGTAGCGTACACAGATATTTTAAATGTGGGGCGGGGGTCATTACCAAATTATATAATATACTTATCAAAATATTATGTTGTTCAACAAAAATTTCTTTTTATCATCGAACAATATGTAATTTCCTGGGTTTTCGTCCCAACTCATCAATGACCTCTTCAGGAGGTAAATGCATAGCCCGGTATACCGACAACATAGCCAATCCATTTAATCTGCTCTGTGTAAATAATTGTTTTTAATATAAAATGTAATAATTACATGGATGTGAATTAAAAATATGTACTCATAAAAAAAAAGATTATTTACCTCTTTCGTAGTACTTCTCAAATAAGTTTTTACTCTTTTTAAATTTGAAAATATTCTTTCTGGTTTAACTGTTGATACCAGCAGTGTACATATCATTTTTAATAACTTGCGAATAACTGGGAAGATTACTGGATTAAAATTTGTTAATGCATCAATTCCATTTAATAGTTTATTATTCATACGAGAAAGTTTTATTTATTCCACATTTTAAGTTCACTGAGAGCGGTAGAAAAATCAATAAAAGATAAATAGAATGAAACGAGAGATTCAAAATCAGCTTTATTAGAAAATTGAACAGTACAATATTATCATAATACATTCAAGGTATCAGGAATTTGAACTTCAAATGATATAATATTATAGCTGTCCAAATGTAATAACTTGATAATTTAAAAGTATAGATATAGACATATAGATAATAGGTACCGATAACCGATATGGTGATTTAATACACATCTATAAATATTCGTTAATTGTGTTTATGTTTATGTTTGAACTTACTTCCAACTGATTCAACTATAAATATACTATGAAAAAAAAATTATTAACAATCTTTAAATTTTATTCATTTTTAATTTTCATATATTTTTACGTATAGTGAAAAAAATACCAAGGATGAGTTTGAACACCTAACCCTCTTCCCCGTGTGTGTACGCTACTCTTAACAACACTGTAACGGCGTGACGGTGTAGATTGCCCATATTTGATAAGTAGGTGCCTATTTTGTATGTGATCAGTAGTACTTGGAACAAACCGTGATCCATGAATCATTAGCTACTTCAAATTTGAGAACTGTTATCGAGAAAACGATAGTATACAGTAATATTATACATATTACGGTCAAGATCATAAGACAATAATTTATTTTGTTCCACTTCTTAATTCGTATTATCATATCCGATTAGTTTACTAATGCTGGATTGCATCAGATATTACGCTTATAGAACAGACATAAACTTTTTAAACACCTAATACCTAATAGCGTTTTAAAATAAATTAATTTGCATAAACGCATAATAAATATTAATTTTGTTAAAATCCAACCTGTCTACCTACCTAATTATATTATACCTAATAATGTTATAGCTATAGGAAAGTGCTCTAAGAAAACCAATTTAAATACAATCCAAACTTTTCGAAACGTTGCCATAGTATTTTGAATATTTTTTGTTCGAGATTTTCGCCATTTTATTTATTTAGCTTCAAAATATATTGAAAAAAAATCAGAACATTAGTAATGAGTAATGAAAATTATTATTTCGTATCGCATTATAGATTTATCTATATGAACTAATTATCCATTTTTGTAATAACATACAATATACTATCATTCGTTCAAATAACTATTTAATATAACAATATTGTTTTTGTTGTTGTTGTTGTATTTATACTATTATAAATTAATAGAGCGCATGTATGTTGTGTTGCAGATATCAATGATGGAGAAGGAGTCAAGTTGCGCGCCACGATCACTTTTCCAATAGGTCGAGCGATCGCCAACGGCTATGGCCCGATGTCCATCAAGTCGGTGGTGCGTATTTACGGTAAGCAACTGGTGGGTAGTAGCTTCCAAGAGGGTAGTGGTGACGGCAGTGGTGACGGCAGTAGTAGCCGGGATATTAGTGGTTCCGACGTGTCCAGCTCCGAGTTCGGCGACGCCGTGCAGGCGTCCGTGGTACCTGTTAGGGTGTATGGCCGTCGCGTGTCTTCCGACGGCGCATCCCGAGAGAAACCGTCCCTGGTCACTGTCCTGACATTTCCTACAGTCGGCCGAGGGCGGTGGAGAGATGTGGACGTGACGCGTCTATTGAAGGCACGGAAACCTCACGTCGCAAATGTTGCCGAAGAACCCACCACTTTGGAATTGTCGCTATGGTATCCAACGGCGTCTGAAACCATCCAAATCAGCGGTGGCTGTGACGGCTGCCACGCCGACCGACTTCCGGTCATGCACTGTTTCCTGGACGGTAATTTAGAATACAGTATGTGGCCGTTGGGTGATGTAGAGCCGATCCGGTGCACAGGGCTCGGGACGATTCGGAAAAAGCGGGACGGTATTGCCGCGGTCAAAGGCGGCGGTCGAGGACGAAAAGATAAACGACGTCGGCCATCCGTGTCCGGAAGTGTCCGTCGGACTGATTGCAAAGTGGACCAGTCATCGATGGTTGGTACCAACAATGGTACCAACAAGTGTTGCCGAGAACAGATGCGGGTCGTTTTCGCCGACATACCCGGTTTCGATTTCATCATTGAGCCAAAGTGGTTCGACGCCGGTCTGTGCCGGGGACGGTGTCCGGCTAAGTACAACCCGGCAACGCGGCACGCGTTCATCCAGAGTCTGTTGAACAACAACAGGGGCGTTGCGGACTCGCCTAGAAATCGGCGGCAACGGAGACGGGTCCGGCACGGTGGCGAGAAGGAGAGCCGAGAAGCGACCGGGGTGGTATCTCCGTGGATACCGTCGATACCACGGCCGTCTCCACCTAAACCGTGTTGCGCCCCAAGCATGTTGGATAAATTGGAGATTATGCACGTGGACGAGGTGAATCCGAAGAAGTTAACAGTGACCAGGTGGAAGGAAATGGTTGTCGTGGAATGCGCATGTTCGTGATTCCTAACCGCAGTTAGGACGCCTGTTATAAACATAGATGATAAAAACTTTATTATCCGTGTGATTATAATTTGTAAAATGGTTGTAATTAATATTATTATCGTTCAAACTCACAGTACGAATATACATGTATACGTTGGCACCAGATTTTTAAAATGTCTTTGGGGAGAGGGGATTGAACTTATTATAGTTAACGAAATCATCGTATGCACGTAAACCGAAAAAAGGCATGTGTTCTCTAAAAACACCGCTCAAAAACGTCTAATGAATTCACAATATTATTACATATTGTTTACTACGGTCAATTTTATTAGGTTTGAATTACATACTGAAAACTCCCAAAATGTGTTCATACAATATGGTATTGAAAAGTGTATAATTAATGTTTTTACGGATTATTTTTGTAGTTTCGTATGTTATGTATTTATATGAATATTATACCTTAATTGATTCGTTTGTACTATTTTTTTAAAATATTTTTTTTTGTTTTTTTATTTTTGTAATTTAGCGTATAAGTAATATTATATTGTATGTATATATATGTGTATTCAAATGACGAATATAGGACTGCCCGGGGACACCATTTGGGGGGCTAGGCCTGCACTCGCAATCCCTTGTAAGTTGTAATTTTTGTCCATAGTTGACTCATGTATTGATTTACATCAATATTTTGGCCGTGACATTCACGCTTAAATAATATTCGATTTTTCTATTTACATTTTGTACAAAATCATATGCCTATTGCATTTTAATAATTAGTTTCAACAATAATTGACCAGATACCTGGTAAGGAGGGGGGGGGAAATAGGCCTCATAAAATTTTTGCACCCCCGTATAAAAAAATGAAATACTGAATACGTACTAAAAAAAAACAAATTTAATTCAAATGTAAATATTTATTTTCTCAATATCCAAAAATTCCTTTATGAATACAGTCAAATTTCTCGTCGTCTTGATTGCAATAAAATAATTTTTGTTTCAAGGTCGCTGTAGTCGGTGTATATACCTACCATGGGAACTCAAAAAAAACACTATTTCGTAATATCATCAGAAAGATTATACACGAGAATTGCTATAGTGACGTCCTCTCCTCTCTCATATAATAGACTAAACAACAGTTAATATTATTGTTATTTTTGTAATGCACATACGATAGTGTGTATTGCGTACTATCAATCGAAACATCCCAGAAATACACTAGTGCAACGCAAACGGACAAACATTTTGTTTCCCCCTCCGTACATTTATAATCGTAAATATTTTTCTACAAAATCGTAACGTACCTATATTATTATAACATAAAATATTTTTGTTTTTTTTTTCTTTTACGACGAGCGTAAACAGCAATATTTTATGTATACGTAACGTGTTTTATTTTTAAAAACATTTTTTTTCTAAAAATATTAACTTAAGGAGATTATTATTATTATTTTTTTTATAACATTTTTATACAATGTCCGGTACACGATATAACCTGTACCTATATTATTATAATAAATATCACGTTATGTATCCTATTTTTTAACTATATACTTATATATATATATATATATATATATATATATTTATATTACTATTATTATACTGTATATTTTAGAATAATATGAAATCGTCTGTATTACATTATATTATAACGTACCTGATAACTGATAAGTATTATCTTATTCCATGTCATGGGCCATGTGTAGAATTAGTCTTTTTTCCAAAAAACTAGGCTTTTTGCAATGGGGTAGCCCGTTTGTGAACTATTTATTATTATTCCAAACGGCCTACTGTTTATCAAACTTATAGCATATAGACTAACAGCAGTTAGACCTTTTAAGAACTACAATAGTTATTATATAGTAATAACTATTTTCTTTCTTTTTTTTTTTACTTATTTTATTTTATGGGTAATTTATTACTTTTACAAAAAATAGTCTGAATAAGTATGGTACTTATAATATAGTGTTATATTTATTTTATAAACTGTATCAATGGCTAGTATCTAGTATCAGTAAAGTTTAAACTATTTTAACGTTTTTGACTATTCCATTATTAGTTTTATTTTACATTACTAACAAAAAAGAAAATGTGTAAAATATTTACTTATTGTAACATGCAGTTTATCGTGTTACATTTTTTTGTCTACAACTTTGCCAATTATATTTTGAGTGTCTAAATGGTTCACCATCTACTTTGATAATATTGACTAAAACATAAATTCCAACTTATAAACTGTATCAATTGAGTATTCATAAAATCATATCAATCGTATACATTTCAAATTCCTGGTAGGTATTTACCTACATTAGTTCATCAGTAGATTGGAGTATAACTTTTCACTGTAGATATTTTTGTCGCTATAATGTTTGTAAATACTAGACGTTAGTACACCACTGCGTTACCGTTAAAGCGGTCGAATTAGTTTGTTTTCGTTACCAAAAATGTTTTTGCAAAAAAACGATGCGGTTGACAGTTTACATGTTATAATAATTCTACTGAACTCTTTTTTATGAAAGTAATAAATTACCCTTAAAATAAAATAAGTAAACTAGTTATTACTATACTATAATTATTGTAGTTCTTAAAAGGCCTAACTGCTGTTAGTATATATGCAATAAGCCTGAAAACAGTAGACCGTTTAGAAAAATAATAAGTAGTTCACAAACGGGCTACCCCATTACAAAGAATCTTTTCGCAAAAGGACTGATTTTCCATATGACCTACGACATATACATGTATAGTGTATAATAGTTTGTTTCTAATGAAGCGTTAGTATTTTTTTGTTATTTTTATGACTTCCCGCTGATACTAATATTATACAAATATCAAGTTGGAAAAAAACCTTTCTTTCGAACCTTCCCCCCACCCCCGTTTAAATTTCACCAACGAATATTTAGCCCCAACCTGGGGGTGTTAAATTTCTCACTTTTCGCTGTTATAACACCGGGTCTCGAATCAATCAAAACGAAAGTCAATATTTTAATTTTCAATTAATTTTAATCAATTTTCGACAGATTTATGTTACTTTTGTAACCGAAAATTCTTTTCTATTGAGTCGATTTGAGTTTGGGCATCCTTGATGACGTACCCAGTCAATGGTTAATAATATATAATAATAATATATATCAACCTAATCAATTTTATTATTTAATGATTAAACGAAAAATCCTATTCGTAACGGAAGTTTAAAACATATCGTAATTAATAATTAATTAATATTTTAATTGTAAATTTTGTATTGATCCTCGATTGTGTTGTTCAAAATATTATTCTTGTATTAATATCGTACGTTCTTAGTGAATTTATTATACCCTATTATTATTATTTATTGTTAACTGTATAAATTGTTTTTTTTTTTCTAAAATATGTGATTTTATTAATATTTCTACTCGGCTAGGTGTTTTATATATTAAAAAAAAAAAAATATGGTCAAAGCAAATAAAAGTTACGTTCTAGAAAAATAATCACTATTACATTTTAATTAATATTATATTATGTGATTATTATTGAAAAACTGTGATATTTTATATTATTTTATTATAATGTTGTATTAATTAGGTAATGTTTGAAATTTCACTATAAATGTTGGTTTTTATTTGTATTATTATTATAATTTTTCATATAGGTACCCTGAAAATGTACATAATCGATACTTTTGTAATAATTTTTACAAAGATTAAATAAAACATGAATTTGCATTACACGATATGTATTATATATTATTATTTTGTTTTTTATCTGAAACTCTGTGAAACCTTTATTCAAAATTTGTCTATAGGAATAAGCATTCATTTATTACGTTTTAGAGCATAAGCGTAGTTAGGAATATAATTTACTATAATATGATGTGTTTTTTAAATTCTGAGTGGAGCGAAGATGTTTATTAATTAATTTTTTTTTTTATATCTGTACGCAACTTTTCTACCAGCAATTTTGCTCAGATTTAAAATGATAGTACTTTTTTTAAAAGGAAATCGGACTGGGGAGGCACTTTAAAGAGGTAATTTTTCGATTTTCTCAAAAGTTTTCCCAAAAAATGTGAAAACCGGAAGAACGTAGAAAAAACGGAAAAATCGGTACAACATTAAACAAATATTATTAAAGAAAATATATAATAATACCTATTTTAGTTATTTTATCATAATATGATTTATATATTATTGATCATCACTATCAAATAAACTACGTTATTCTGAACGTAGTTCCTATTCAATTGTTTTACCACAATATAATAACACATTATATATTGTTGACAAAGCCACACTATCAACTGAACTCGTTCAGAATCGTTTTTTCGTTACCAATGATTTATCGTTGCTTAAAACTAACCATTAAATTCCCGTCTGTATGCTACATTCCCAGCTCCCACCTACAACAGTAGGTGCCTCCACGTGTAAAGTGGGTATGTTCGTCTTTTTTAACATTTTATAATGGTTTGTTTTTTATCTAAATACTAAATAAGACACTACAAATCCCAATATTTAGTGTAAATACTTAAGTAGTTATAAAATTAATCATAAGCAAAGTCGGGGGCGTCAAAATGTTGTTGTTCATGAGCGCCAAAATCATAAATACGGTCTTGTTAGAACAGCTTTTTTCTGTCTGTAAACAACTTTTCTATCAGAAATCTTTCTCCGCTTTCAAGTGTACCATTTTAATCTGAAATAAATGTTATTTAGTTGGCGTGTTGGGGAGGTCATTTACGTTACTGTTTTCTTAAAAATTGTGGAAAAAACCGAACAAATTTACAGCAAGGTTTCATTATTTTCTATTTTGTTCTTTTGTTTGTTTTTTGCAATTCGATTGGAAATAATCGTAGAAATATGACATTTGCGTAAAATATTTATTACAGTCCTTTATAGACGCGGTAAAATGTTTATTTTTGACTTAATTATTTACAAAAGTCGAGTACGTTATATATCCTACCCTTCTTCTATTTTGTTTTTTTCGAAATCTTTAACAATTATACTAATATTAATAAATTCGGCTATTTGTAAACTACGGAATATTTTCTCTTTTTCTAGAAGTCGATAGGTAAGTAAACTCAGGCAAAACAAATTTAACATAATAAAAACTGCAGGAAAACGTAAGATACATTGTACAAACGGTGATAATTATTTCAGATACTTATTAGGTATATACTATGTAAATGTCGCATCCACTTGATGAAATTGTCCATTTCATGAAAAGTTATTTAGATTGACGTAGCAAACTAACAGTAATATCAAATTTTTCATAGACAGTTATTAGATTTACTGTTTGAAGATATCGGTCAAGTGGAAAAATTATGGAAATTATTTTCACTAAAATAGATAAAGCTGCTTGAAATTTTAACTTTTGTATCGCAGTAAGAAGATGACTTGTAGAACTAGAAGAATTTTTTTTTTCGAAGACATTTCGGGGAGGGGGGAGTTACAACCCCCTACCCCCTTCCTGGATATGTCACTGAGTTGCACCCATCCGTACGCATCAGCTCTTTTTTTATGTTTTTTTTTTTTGCCGGTGCTCTAGAAAAATAATATTATCAAGGAAACGTGCACACCGTCTATATTAGACGCGTCGTAATGCGGTTAAACGTGAGTAATAATAATAACAATATTTACAAACGTTTCGCGGAACTCATTGAGAAAATATGTGCGGCGAGCCATTAATAAGTTATTTATATTACGTGTGTCGTATTTTCGTCGACGACCGCCGCTAATAATAACCCGTTCGAGTCTATTTTCAATGCGATTTTCATGTACTATAATTATTATTATATACCGATGATTTATATCGTTTATGGGGGATATCATGACTCGCTAGTCGCTACCTACCGACGAAGACGCGTATTTACGGATCCTATATGGGCCCGCACTGAAATGTAACCTAGTTGATTTTAAGATTTTTAGGGCGGTGATCACGAGTTGGTTTACCAAACAATGCCTAACATTGCTTATTGGTCCAAACCCGATAACGCTCCAATAAGAGAGTAATGCCGGGTCGCATAAACGATCGATAACAATTTAACCAATTTAAAATGGAAAACCTTAAAACGCAAATTTACGTTCAGCAGGTATAGTATAATATATATTAAACTATGTGGATTCATTATTATTAAATTTAAATACAAGAATATTATCTGTGAAACGTTGGTACTGTTTTTTCGGTATTTAATTTTTTAAGAGAGATACCCGAATATGTAAAATATTACAATTTAATAATACTTATATTTCGCTTGAAAATTAAAATATTATAAAAATAGCGCACAAATAATGTTACATTTAAGTATGATTTAAGACCAATTCACTCTAATATTAAAACTAACAACATAAATTAGTCCCTGCCGAACGCAAATTTGCTTTGCTGTATAAAGGTAGCACATGCAGGTATCACATCTTAATCTATAACAGTTGGTCTAAAGATAGTGTCATAAGTGTAAACCAAAAACTTACTATACCAATACACCTAGTAGATAAAAAATTACCACGGGTTACATGTTTAAACATTCTACTCGAGTCGAACTCGGGGGGATCTGTAAATACGCTAAGGGGCAGCACAACATAGCGAAATTACTACGTTGAACAGTAAAAAAAATTAATTTATTGTGACATTTAGGGAGAAATTATTACAGTTTAAACGCACATAAAAAAATGTAGAGAGGCTGAGCCTAAAATAGTGAGTCCTCTGAAAATCAATGTGTGCCTTCCTCCTCCTGAATTACAATACTGAACGAAGTTTTATAACTAATAAAGTAGTATGTAATTTGGAATTCCTACACAAATGTATTATAAATTTTTAACTCAATTTAAGTTGATAAAAATTTGCTGGTTACCTATATTTTATGAAAATATCATAAAATTCCAGTTAATATCATATTAATATGTAAAAAGATGTCTTAGGATAATGGGGACGAGTGTAGCCACTGTTATAGATAATTTAATGTATACCTGTAAGCAACAATAAACCATTGATTCCAAAAAAACGATTCTGAATAGAGTTCAGTTAAAAGTGATACTTTCTTAACAATATATACGTCATTTTATAGTAAAATAATTAAATAGGCTTTATATATTTTCTTTAATAATATTTATTTAATGTTGTACCAATTTTCCCGATTTTCTCATGTTTTATCCCGATTATTCACATTTGCTGAAAAAACTTCTGAGAAAATCGAAAAATGACCTCTCTAAAGTACCTCCTTAGTGAAATTTCCTTTTAGAAATATTGCCATTATTAAAAGTTGGAGCAAAATTGCTGGTAGAAAAGTTGTAAACAGAAAAAAGAAGACCTTTATATATTTTAACTAATACCTACATTTCTTATATTTTCTCGCATTTTTTTCGGTTTTTCAAATTTGATGAGAAAAGTCCTGAGAAAATCAAAAAATGACATACTTAAGTACCTTTCCACGCCGATTTCCTTTCAGAAAAGGTGCTACACGTAGAAATCCGAGCAAGTTTTCTGGTAGAAAAGTTTCGCACAGATAAAAAAAAATACAAATAAAGAAGTAAACATTTTTGTAAAACTATAAACTTCTTCGTTATTTGTTAGGGTTTTACCCTACCTCCCTCTCCTCCCATTGTGTTAGTCCGACAAGTAACCGAAATCCCCAAACGTATTATTGTACACCACTACGATGGTATGATAGTTTTACATGCTAAAATTACCCGACAATCTTGTACATAAAATTGAAATCTTATAATAATAATTACTATGGCTGTCCACTCTACCCTGTACCCACCAACCAATATTTACCAATAATCCCGTTATGTTTTCAACTATTTGTACTAAATTCATAGTACACGAGTAGAGTAGTTATTAATATTTAGTTAATTTCATATTGAGCGTCCACCTAACCCTTAATTTAAACAAAAATCGAGAAGCAACTGATTTTGGAAGAACGCATTTGTTTGAATATTGGTAAGGATAGAAATATCGGGAAATTCAGCTACTACAAATTCATTAAACGATTAAGTTTATTGTTATTAAGTTTCTGTTGTTAACAGAAAAGTTGAGTATACTTTTTCTAAATAGTTATATTTACGTTTTTTAAAACTTTGGTATTGCATTTTCAACCTTAGTCGCCACCACCATTAACACAATTTCGCGATATTATGTTAGACTAAGACAGTAAACGCGGGCGTGGCGTCCTCACTTATAATAAACTATTAATATGCTGTTATTATTATTGTTGTATAA